ACAGCAGTTGGAATGTCTGCAGAAAAATCGCTTTACATATCGCTCTTGGGGTTATATATGCTCCAGTCGTGAATCTCTGAGAAAAAAGGGGTACCATACCACAAAAGAAAAAAACCAGCCTTTACTTCAACCAAGGAGGAAAAGGAAAGTTCCCTCTCTCTTTTCTTTTTGGGTTCTCTCTCTCTCTCTTTTTTTTGGGTTTTTTTTTTTTTTTGATTGCGACAAAGAAAGTACTAGTAAAAGAATGATGGAGCAATAGAGTTTAAAACAAATAATTAGCATTCTACACAAATTATGACTCACTTGATTTCCACATTAGCTTTGATTATTGGATTGACTATACGGTCATTTCAGTTGCTAAAATTCTTGCTGAAGGCCAAGTTCGTGGTTCCCATAAATGTAATAATTGCATCTTTTGCTTAAGTGCCCACTGACTCTTCTCTAATGCTCCATTTTTTTTTCCTTCCTCAGTCAAAAATGAACAATTTTTTCGTCCAACTGAACTGAAGAATCTAAAAGGAAAAGATATGTACTGGAATTTGAATAATTCATCTGCTCTTGTGGGTGATGGAGCTTTGCACACTGCATAATTGTTGTGTTTCTTTTCCATTTTAGTTTAAAAACTAAATAAATAAAAGTTTGTTCCTAAAAGAAAAATACTTAAAACTTTTTAAAATCCCTTTTCCATGCAGAAGAAAGAAAATTCAAAACATTGAAACTTGCTTGCAACTTGCTTTGTGTATATTATTGGATACAGAATTCCCTGCAGGCTGCAGCCACCAACTGGTGAAAAGGACAGTACACTTAACACTTAAAAAAGTGACAAGGACATTGCAGGAAAAAATACTACCCGGCAGCAGCAGTCACGCCAAGAATAAAGTGTTGATGATGGTCATTTGCACATCTAGATAGATTGTGATGAATGAAATTTAGCTGTGACCAGCGGCCATGCCATTATTATACTAGTAACTTTGAAGCCTGTCGCTGGCTTATCAGCTTGGTTTTCATAGTTAAATTGTCCCTCAACTCCTCTAATAGACTTGTTCAAAACTGTAAGTTGCACCCCATCATGTCCTCGTCATGTTCATTGCTGAATGAGCTTTGCATATTTGGACCATCAACCCTCATTTTTAATCACTCGATTGTTCTGAGGGAAATCATACAGTTGACTATGTCTGCTTAAACATGATGGAGTACTGTATATATATTTGCATACAACATTTTGTTATTGTCCTTTTGAGGTTCTTGACTCATCAAGCACGATGAATGCTCAAAACTCTGTCACTTTACCTGTTAGTGGTATATGGAAACAAAGATTGAAAAAGTGGAATAGAAGACTTTTCACTTATAAACAGAATCTAACATATTTAGATTGACTTATTTATAGATGTGAAGCTCGGAATTTGAAACCTCTTAATTCCGGAGTTGCAACTCAATTGGTTCCATCACTCTACTCTACGAAGAGTTCTTTCTGTGGTTTAAAGAGAGATTCCAAGCCAAGTCTGGTAAGGGAGAAAGGAAGTAAAAGGAAGGGTTTGAAGTGCTCAATGGCTGGCTCAATGTATACCATGTCCTAGGCGACCGAGTATGTGAAAGTATGTGAGAAGGTTAACAGGCCTTTTGAAAATGGTGGATCAAAACGTGAAAGAAGGATAAGCAGACGATAATATGGGGCTGAAGCCGAAGCCTTAAAAGCCCCAGGAGTGCTTTCTCGGCTAAAACATGTGTTGATGGTTTATCTGTATGGCCTTTCCGCTTGGGTATTGGCCTTTCCGCTTGGGTATTGCTGGCCGTCTTACATGATCGCATGTTGGTATCAGTCTATCATGGTAGAAAGAGACCCCTTTTTTGTGGGCTTACCTCTTGTGCATTGAGAAATGGTGGGCTTACCTCCATGGACTATCATAATTAGAGTCCAAGTTTTTAAAATCGAATCAATCTCGAGTAGTGCGTTACTTAATTTCGATTTGATTTGATTGCACTAGTATTGATAGGTTTGGATCGAATCAACGGGTTCGATTGTGAATTGACTTTCTTTTCGAAGTAGTTTGTAGTATAAAATCGCTTTGATAAAAATCAGTCAAATCCATAAAAAACTGACTAAACCAATGACCCGATTTGACTAGTTGACCTGGTTCTCAAACATTTTTTTCTTCTTTTCTCCAAATATAATTTGAGTTATCTAAATTATAACACTTTTATTTATTAATACAAACAAGACAATGTCACCCATTTAGTGTAAATATCAAAATCACTCGCTCTCATGTATGATTTCTAAATCAAGATGTTTTTCATCTCTATGATCTCATTAATTTAGCATCAGTGATTCCAACTTGCATTAATTTGTTTTAATTTAGTTTTTCAAGTAGTTTTGGAGAATGGACATATTTTAACCATGAATTTATATTTTATATATATAATTATTAGGTGTATATTTGATTATAAGTCTAATACTTTTGGTACATTTTTTTTGATTGGCCAAATATAACCAATAACTTAATTTTAATATTTCTGAAACTTATAATAATATAAAATAATTAAACATCGTGCTAACGTCAACGCATTTTTTAGAACGATCCAACCAGTTGACTCCCTACCTGATAGTTTAGTCGAGTCATTATCCGATCCGAATTTAACAACATTGGATTGCACCCCTAAAATTATTGGTGTTAGATTGTTCTTCTCTTTCTTTTTATTTGTTGGCCTTGTCGTTATTATTGGATCATCATCAATGCTTAATGTCACCTTACACAATTACAGATGAGATTCGATAATTGGAAATGATGAGATCATAGCAACTCCCCTGCACGTCCCCGCCTAATTTTGGGATGGTCTCTCTTTCCCCAAAGCTACCACAACAAGAAGATCAGATGGATTGACAGCATTGGTTACCGGTCCCAGCTAATGCTTTCTCCTAATTTTTTGTTCAAGTTATTGCGTCAAGCAAATGACAAGAATAGCAGAGTGGTCAACTGTAGTTGAGCAATTGGACTGGGCCTCATTCAAATGCTGTGCTTACACTTACAGTTGTCAATTAGCAAAAAGGGCCTCAAATTTTGTTCCAGTAGGCCCCTTCAATTTGTCCATAATATAAGCCACGAAATAAGAACATATTTGGAGTTTAAATAGTATTCTATTTTTACCCCTACATTTTTAGTATAGGCATTTTTCACAAGTTCGGATAGGGTATCAGTGCTTTAAATCTGTAGATGTCAAGAGGGGTCTAATTCACATATAATCATAATTCAAAGATGTCTTGAAAGTTATAATCATCAGGCATGTGCTTTTTGCAACCGAATAGCAAATTCATTTTCCGACATCTTGATGCTGTTTTCGAGCATCACGAAATAATTAAGGGTCAGCCAACAAAATGGTTCAAAAAGAGGGAAGAAAGAAAAAGAAGAAGAATCAAGGTAAAAGTTTGTGCCAACAGGTAAAAGGTAAATTAAAATAACTCAGACTAAATAAAGAGAATAAAGATGAGAGTTGAACCGGATTCAGAGAAGGATCACAGGCATTACCGGTTTACCTTATTCGAGTAAATAAGGAGCATTAGCATACGTTAGTGAAGGACCTTGGGTTAAAGCAATAATGATTCTTCCACGTAAACCCGAAGGTGATGACCTGAATAGACGGAGACCTCGACCGGTCTATTAATAAACCCAAATGCATCTCAACTGTTGGGTGCATTTAATAAAACTGGAGTAAGAAATCTGAAATCATTGAATTGTTAAATATTAAATCTAATATATTTGAGTGTATATTACATTTAGTGATAAAGTGAATAACTTATCATTTAATTTTGAGAGCAAGTTTTGCCTAAGAAATTCAGTGTCACTTAATTAATTTAGATGTTCAATTTTTAATCATCAAACGGTATAAATGTGTTAAAATCTGAATTCATTAAATTTAAGTGATGAATTGAATTATCAAATAAGGCCGCAGTCTTTTCTTGTGTCTTGCCGGACACAAACACTGTTGTCCCATTTTTGCCTAAAAAATTTGTACCATGGTAATTCGTTTTTAATTAGCCAGCCAAAAGTTAGATTCCAATTTATGACTTGCAAAAAAAAAAAAAAAAAAAAAAAAGCGGTTATCAGTCTCAGTCAAAAAGGGCGAGAAAGGCATTGCTGTCGCGACAGATACATCACAGGATTCGCACGCTCTTTACTTTTTTTTTTTCCTTTTGACCAAACCAACGTAAATATTGTACAGCAAATCTATTGGATTGATCCTACGTTACGTTAACAATTTATCAGAATCGGTTAAAAAAAGATATCAATTGCGGTTGTTGGGCAGCCCTGAACCCCGAGCCGCCCACCTTAAATTCACTAACATCCAAATCCCACCAACTCCAAAACAGTCCATTTATCCCAACCCATTCAGACTGCCCGACCCAAACATGGCGCAACTTTTCTTCACCAAGTACGTGGTAGGCCCTACGTCAAGCCAGCCCACCAACTCCCACACGTCAACCTCTCCCAATCCACGGCACCCCCACTCTTCAGCAAGAATCCCTTTCAGGATAGCCTGATGTAGAAGTAGAACCCTTCTTAATTATAGTGGAGTAGTATTTCCCATAAAACAAAAAGAAAAAGTCATCTTATATATATATTGTATACTTTCACAATGTATGTAATAATTGAAAAAAAATATTATTCATGCTCCAATTTTTATTAATCACACTCTCGCTATCATTTTTATCACATAATTTTTATTTATTAAATTATATTATAAATTATAAAATAAAATAATGAGAGTGTAACTAACAGAAAATGGAGTGTGAATAATATTTTTGTAATTGAAATTCATCTCAATTTTTTTTTTTTGGGGTCTAAGGGAAGGAATCAGTTTAATTCACAATTAAGTGACATATATGGTAGTATATACAAGTTTAATCCGATAAATATTACTTATAGTATATGGAAAAAGAAAGAAAGAAAGAAAGAAAAAAATGTATTTCCACGTTACGCCCCTGACGGATATATATATATATCCCAAAGCCACCTAAATTGGCCACCCCTCTCCATCCATATGTACCAACTTTATTGTTGAACAGCTCTCCTTTGTCCCTCCTAAGTTTTCCTACCCACCGCAGAAATGCCATCAGAACCACCCCCAAACTTCTGGGGCGACATGCCGGAGGAGGAATACTACGCCTCCCAGGGCGTCCGCAACACCAAGTCCTACTTCGACACCCCAAACGGAAAACTCTTTACACAGTCATTTCTTCCACTGGACCCTCAAGAACCCATCAAGGGTACGGTGTACATGAGCCACGGTTACGGCTCCGACACCGGCTGGCTCTTCCAGAAGATATGCATGAGCTATACCACCTGGGGATACGCCGTCTTCGCCGCCGACCTCCTTGGTCATGGCCGGTCGGAAGGCATCCCGTGCTACCTCGGCGATATGCAGAAGATCGCCGGTGCGTCGTTGTATTTTTTCAAGAGCATGAGGAACAGTGAAGAGTACAAGCATTTGCCGGCCTTTCTGTTTGGGGAGTCAATGGGTGGACTGGCTACTTTGCTCATGTACTTCCAATCTGATCCTGACACCTGGACTGGAGTGATCTTTTCGGCCCCACTTTTTGTCATCCCCGAACCTATGCAGCCGTCCAGGGTAGTCTACTCTTCTCACATCCTCCAATTTTTTTTATTTTTTTTTTGGGGGGGGGGGGGGGGCAATGTTACTCTGACGGGATAATGGAAGATGAGGCAATTAGTAGTACCATTTGGTTACAACTTTCTAGACCTTTCAAACATTTACAAATTCAATTGGTTTGAATTTCGTTTTATGTCAAATTTTAGCATTAAATTTGGAAAGAATCTAATATTGCTAAACATTTGCTAATACATGCATAGTATTTGGTTTGGTGGGAAGTAGGGAACATGGTCGGTGCTTGCCACTTTATTTTGTAAAATTTGCAAATATTTTCTTTCTCTTTCTTCTTACCAAACATTAATGTTATTATGTATTGAAGGTGCGGCTATTCGTGTATGGATTGTTATTTGGCATGGCGGATACGTGGGCAGCAATGCCAGACAATAAGATGGTGGGAAAGGCTATAAGAGACCCTGAGAAGTTGAAGATCATTGCCGGAAATCCAAGAAGATATACAGGTCCGCCCAGGGTTGGGACCATGAGGGAGCTCGTGAGGCAAACTGAGTACGTACAGAACAATTTCCACAAGGTGACGGTGCCATTTTTGACCGTTCATGGGACTTCTGATGGGGTCACTTGCCCGTCCGGCTCCAAAATGTTGTACGAGAAAGCTAGCAGTCAAGATAAAACCTTGAAGTTATACGATGGGATGTACCATTCGTTGATTCAAGGGGAGCCCGACGAGAGTGCAAACCTTGTGTTGGCTGACATGAGGGCTTGGATTGATGAGAGGGCTCAGAAGTACGGTCCAAAAGCAAAATGTAATGGATACTCGTAGGGGTTCTCAAAAAAAATATATATATATATATGATTGTTGAAAAACTTTATATTGATTAATACAAGTGGGAGGGGCGTAGAGGCATTATTATGGCTGAATCGAAAGTGTTCTTCTATTTGTACGAAAAAGTTATGCTGGTGCTCTGGGACAAAGCGAAACACACCAGATACTGTATTAAATTGTCTTCAATTGGAAGCGATGGTTTTTCTGTTTGATTATATCAGAATTATTCGATTGCTTACGGTACAGGCTTGCAAACTTTCCGACAATTTGGTAGTGAGCTGTTTATTTTGTGAAGACTGTCTCCAACTCCAATTAGTCTTGGACAGTGGTGGTAGGTAAAGTTGGTGGAAAGTTATTCCAAAGGCCTACCTATCGCAGAGTTGGGACGCACTATTTTATCACAAGAATCAGTCAATCACCAATTTTATTCCCCAAAAACAAGCGACGTCCATCTCAAGTTTCAAATAACATCAACCTTTTTTTTCTTTTTTGAAGAAAAAAAAAAAAGAGACACCAACTTTTGTTTTTCATTTCGGAGCATTAGATGTCAACTTCACTCACCAACTTCCGATTTTGACGTCTGAAAGCACAAAATCTTCTTTGAGGTTTTTCACCATCCACTCCGACGGAGGGCCACCAAAGGTAATCTCATCGATTCAGCTGTCTCATTTTAGCCAAGGCATTAGCTTCCCGAAGGATACAGAGTTACATAAGAACAAAATCAAGCAAGCAACCGTTTAAACATTTCACTTGGTACTGATTTTAAAAACCATATGAAAGCTGTCCAGAAATCGATTACAAATGTCAGATTTTGCCAGGGTGGTTCAAGTCCAGGGATGTTATCATGACAATCATCTTTGTGCTGGCATAACTTTCACATTGCTTTGGAGACCTGACCCCCACAAGGATATTATGATATGTTGAGGGATTGGAACAAAACACACTCGACTAGAATCTGCAATTGATTCATTCATTTAATGAATGATTCATACTGTGCTCAAAGAAGAAGGCATTGCTATTAGTGACGGTTAAATCTGTGTCTCTTGTAATGGATTAATAGGCACGGCCAGTTATGAACAGTATGCCGTACCAGCCTGTGCCACTTCAAGATACAAACAGTGCAGACTTTAAGCATCTAGTGAGACTCCAGAGATCACAACTAGGGGACGGGGCAGATTTTCTTACCATCTATAGCTCCTTCGTCAATATTTTAGGCATGTTTTAATTTATAATTATCCCCAACGCCCCACTCCATCAACTCCAGCCTTGCACAAAACCAAAACTCTGTTTTCGGCTTCCTAAAATTGCTATATCATGACTGATGACGTTTAGAGAAGTAACTCGCCTCACACTTCCTTGCATGGAAGTTCAAACACAATACGCTGGTGACCCCAACCAAGTCTTTCTTTGAGCCACTGGCCCCTGAATACAGATTTACATGGTACTGATTGATCACAAGATTCATAAAGCAAGATGAAACATGACGTGAATGCCCAAATGACCTTATAACACACGATCAATCAACAAGTGTTTTAAAGTTCAAGCACCTCGTACAGAATCTACTATTTAAATGCCTTAAAGAGAGAAAAGATGGAAAACAAGGGATAAAAAAGAAAAATGTTTCGTGTATCATACAGCAATAACCTTGTGACGGTACAAACTCATGCATTCTTTGAGGGCCATGAAGCTTGTGCCGACATGATGATTCCAACAATGACTCCAAACAGTCCAAGTGCGCTACCAAAAATTTCGATAACCAAAATCTTAACAAACAGTGTGGAGTTCTGTGCATCAGACAAAGCACAGCTGCTTCCAATTATTCCCACACATAACCTTTGTCAAAGAACACAAGAGAAACAGCAATATAAAACATGTTATCAAAATGAAGCAGACATTGCTTTATGCTCAAGGTCACCAGAAACATATAGAAAAACCAAGAAACTTACCCACAGACAAGATTTGCAAAGCCCACAATTATTCCTGAAGCAAAGATGGAGTAGCCTGCTCTAAGGGATTCTGGAGCATATATCTGGGAAGTAGGGACACTCTCTAACTTTGTCTGAAGAATGATAGCCACAATAACTCCATATATAGCTACAGCCTCACAAAAAATTACGCTGAACAGAAAATAGAATGAGATTGAAGCAGCTTAAAAAATCATTTGCAGCACCAAGATAGATGTACAAATTCATAAATATAAAAAGAATTATGCCTAATCAAGAAAATACAATTAGGTGATAATTATTACAAAATAACACAATCACAATCCAGAAGTTCATTATTCTTCAAATATAAACAGCACATCTAGCATTACCCAACAGTCACCATAGGCAGAATTTGGAGCAAGATGAATGACGCTACATAAAAGCATGGCTCGGAAAAACTGTATTGGGTTACAAAATAGTGACAAAAGCAAAGGTTTTCAGCCCAACGGCATTTCTGTTGACTTCAGCATATATTTTATGATTAGAAAGGTGAAAACTGGGAAATGTTTGTTTTCTGGCTCTCAACAAATGGTGTTCCATAAGAAACTACTAAATCAATTCTCAGACACAAATTATTTATCCAACCTAATGTCTTGAGATCTAATTAGACACTTTAAACAAAAGGTGTCTGAAGTCAGGACCCAAGTTCATTCTTTCCTTTATCATTTTCTTTTCACACTGAAAGTCCCCTAGGAAGTAAGTTACTTCTTTAGCATATAGAATATACAAATAAAGGACCCCTAGTAAATTTGTCAGTTTTATAGTCCTGAAAGAGTCTGTGGACATACACCAATCTTGTTTAATTTCATGGTAATAAATGCAAAGTAGGAATAAACATTTCATCCTCCTCTAGAACAAATGCATGTTTCCTCGACAATTCCAACACTTAGAAACAAGACACAGAAAAAAGATATCCATCTCCAAAAATGATTAGATAAAAACATTAAACCAGATAAGTGCAAGAGAATAGTTAAAGAAAATACCAAAAGAAACCAAATAAATGCAAAGAAGACAAGAAAATGATTTTTTTGAAACTCTATTTAACTTTTGAATGCTGTTACAAGAAGACTAAGAGAGAAAGGAAAGAAATATCTGAGATGTATATCAATGGGAAAAATAAAGCTAGTTCCATAGCATAGCCACCAGATTTAGCTTGAAAAGAGTTCATTATTAACATTGGCACATATTGACTGGCCTCCACCACCTTGGCCAAGCAAAAAGGGGAAAAAAATCAAGAAGAGATCTTTGTAATGGCTGACTAAGATAAAAAATTTAACTATTTTTTCCATCATGAGAACTGGGAATATAACACTCTCAATCGTAGCAATAATACATCTTAGACGTCATGATAAACTCATATGTGAACATTGTTTATTGTTTGTTTTGAATCATAAGGTCCAGATGGAAAACCTGTTTAGACAGAAACCCCCCACCCCAAAACAAAAAAAAAAAAAAGGCATTTGCACTAGGGCAAAAAAATCAATCACATAATCCAAGTCACGCTCCTCACGGTTTAACACCTGTCATCAAATCTATCCTCAACCCCCCCCCCCCAACCCCAAAAAAAAAAGCCTAATTTTCAATAACCAATGTTAGCATTACTTCTATTAACTGGTAGAAAACCATAAGTACATTTCACGTGCTCTAGATTTTGAATCACAAATGTTGCATTGTTTGTCCATAGGTATCTGTTAGCAACGATCTAGGTCATTTCATTTAAAGAAATCTTTGTGATGACACTTTTAGATCAAATACACACATTCTTACAGCTGCAATGATAACATTACACAGCAGAAGCTCCTGCTACAAATCAATGCCATGTTTATGAAAAGCAAGACCTAATCGGAACATTGTTGCGGAAATGAAAAGCAGAAAGGAAGGAATAATCTCAAACTTTACACGGCCTCATCCAATTCTGACTGTGGCATAGCAGTAGAAGACATTAAGCTAAGGCTCATTAGATAACTCAATACGTTCGAATTTACACTTTTACCATCACTTTACCACTTCAAATCAGAACATGCATTATCAATTATATTCACCACCGGAAAAGCAAATAATTTAACCCACAAAACATGTTTATAACGATAATAAAGAAAAGGAATTATCACCTGATAAGATTTTTTGATGTAATGCGAGGGGCTTTAATAGCTGCACCAATTAAACTGCTTCCAGTTATAAATATCCCCCTGTAAACAATAATTGCACCCGCAAATAATAGCTTTCTTCAATTTCAGCTATCACAAATCTTGTACAGTTGAAACGCTAGTGAATTTTGAAGACAAGAGATTACAGAAGAAGTTAGTATACCAAGCAGCGCCGAGGACAGAGACACCGATGGCGATGGCGATTCCGACGGCGGAGAAAGTGTAGGGCGAGATCTGAACCAAAGCCCGCGACCATGAGCTCGAAGACTCCATGGTTAACAATTTTTTTCCACCAGGAACAAAACCTGTGTATCCTAACAAATTCGGGAGAGATTTTGATCAGTCTCGATCGATGGATAGAGGAACCATGTTGACGATTGGATGTCCTAAATTGTCACTTAAAATTGCGCTCGAATTTGGGCTTTGTAACACTAGTCACAATGATAGTATCTTAGATGGGCTTGATCCAGAAGTTCTCAGCCCAATTTCTGACAACGGGTTCCTAGGGGTCTAAACTCCAAACCAGTCGCAGCACGGTCTACTATTTAACCCACGGATAGCAGAAGATCCAGAGCACGGACTTGTGCATGTTAAAATGGTAAGCTAGTGGTTTTAGTACTCCTCATCTGACTTTTTCTTCTTCTAATTTCAAAATGCCACAAACAAATGAATATTTTTCTTTAACAAATTAATGCAGTAGTTGTTTTAATCAATTTATGAAATTTTTTCTGAAAAACAAATTACTTGCTAGGAGAATAAATATTTATATATATATATTTAGTTTAAATTGCTATTTAACCAAAAATAATTCCTTAAAGAAAGTGTGAAAACAGCAATAAATTTGTCATTTCATAATATATACTGCGATATTTTTGAGAGAT